GAGATCTTGACAAGGGCCGTGGAAAGGGCAAGCATTCGATCTCCTGTTCACAAATTCACGATGAGTCTTAGTCAACAGCACCAAACAACAACTGCATCTCTCTTTATTCTTCCCTTCAACTCCATGGACATTGGAATGTTCCAGAAGTCCCAGCCAGGGTCCTACCAAATCCTCTCTGGCTTTCTAGCTTCCTTATATAAACGGTCCTCCACAGTGTGACCAGTGCTACCCACCTAAGAAGCCAATTCGAGCGAGATGCTTCTCAACTTACGAACTTCTCCTCTCCCCTCCTCTGTCCCGGTTCCTATAAGTATGGAACCGCCTGGGTCTTCACAGCTTCACCCCCAGGGACTTACTGGGGGCAGAACCGACACTGTGCAACGTCTGCTTCATCACCGTGAGAACTGATTCAAGCAGCGTCCAGGTTTCCTGCGATAATCTTCACACGTGAGGTCTTTCCCTGGACACTGTCCCTTCCAACGTCAGGGCCTGCAGGCTGAACGGCACTCTCCTAATGACCACCACGTCCTACACTGAGCCTGTACTTATTCTTCTGCCACCCCAAACCACTCCTGCTCTATAGAGTCTTTGGGGTAAGCAAAGGCTGCCTACATCAGAGACTGATAGTAACATCTGTTTAAAAAAAAGTATCATTAACAATCAGTTGACAGAAAATGCAGTATGCACTTCTTTGAGATTAATGCAAATTAGGGAATGCTGTAGAATAAAATATAACATTTACTAAAAATATTGTCCAAGTTTAGCAAGAGACTTCACCTGTAATAACTCTGTCAATCATGAATTCTTTCTCTTTGGCACTCTGTATGCAATTTATAAAAGTCTTAGATGGTTACCAGGGATGCAGAAGGCAGCAAATATGAATAAACAGATGCTGTTGCTGTTGTCAGGTGTCATTGAGTCAAATATGACTCATAACAAACCTATTTATGAACAAGAGACGTGAACCCTGTCCCTCTCCTGTACTGTCTTCATCCTCTGTGGTGCACTGCTGCAGTCACTGGGTCAGTCCATCCCATCAAGAGTCTTCCTCATTCGCTGACCCTCCACCTTTCCAGGGCTTTGCAGGTACCTGGACTGCACAGTTGATGACCTGTGTAGCATCACCTCAGTCACAGGGATAGGACTGTGTGTCAGGAAACGAATAGGACATTGTGGCATTTAATAATGTAAGGAGTTCTGTCTGGTCACAGTATTCATAGTGTTTAATAGGTTGTCTGTTTAAACAAAAGCTTTTGTAATACCCGGTTTCCATATAAGAGGGCACAGTGATTAAGGGCTCTGCAGCTAACCAAAGGGTCAGCAGTTTGAGCCGCCGGCCATTCTGCAGGAGAAAGTTAAGGCAGGCTGCTCTGTCAAGGTTCAATCCCAGCCTTGGAAACCCTGTTCTACAAGATCACTGTGAGTCAGAATTGACAAGGTGGCATGTATTCGCTCTTCTGGTCATCTGGGAGCTCTGGGGACGTGCAGGATAGCTAAAGAAAGGGGCAGGTGAGCAGAGAACCATCATCCCGGAGCTCTGGGGATGTGCAGGTTAGATAAAGAAAGGGGCAGGTGAGCAGAGAACCATCATCCCGGAGCTCTGGGGATGTGCGGGTTAGATAAAGAAAGCGGCAGGTGAGCAGAGTACTGCAATGAAGGGCATAACCTGCCTTCTTCTGGAGACATTCAGTACTCTAAGAAGCATACATTGAGCGTGTTCGAGGTTCCAGATCCTGCATTGACTCTGAACTTGACGTTCACAGTATTGTTGGTGAGAGGAAAAATCATTTCCACACAGCCCAGCAAGAGGGGCCCATGGAGTGGGTAGATTTTCTGATAATGGTGGGTCAGCTGCGGTAGATACCATGGGAAGAAGAGACTTATTTGAGCATCAGTTTGAAAAATTAACCAGGCAGAGCCTGCAGGCACAGACTTGTGGGGGAAAGCAGATGAACAAGGAGTAATTATGTTTGGGGCATAGTCACATGGTGAAGAATGAGGCTGACACCAAGGCTGGGACCACGTCACAGAGGAGACTTGCTCCAGGAGAAATGTGAGAAATTGCATAAAGACAGATTTCAAGTGTGAAGAAGATCTTTGAGCATTCCCTGAGGTATGCTTAGCAGTGAACCAAAAACACTCCCCACCCGGGCACTGGTGAGGTGTGCAGAGCTGCTAATGGGTGGCTGGACTGAATGACCTTTCACAACCCTCTGTATTAGAGTTTGTGTTTCAACCCTGTTATACCTTAAATTGTAGCATATAAAGCACTTGTGATTATGTCCACTCCAGCTTCAGGAGGGAAAAAAAACCAACACTGTGGAAATGGAACCATGAAATAGAAGATTGCACATGTAGGAAAGATGGACGTTTGTTGGGGTTGCTGACCAAGGGGACACCTGCTGAGCACCCAGGTCACCTGCCCTCCATGCAGCCTCAGTGTCCCGAGGCTCTGACCCTGCTCTGCCTCCCTGCACCCACCTCATTTTCATCATTTTGTTGGTTCATTCCCAGCTGGCCCCTCCCCTTTGCTCTCCATCCATGATCTTAGTAATAATTGCAGATTATCAGGGGGATTTCCTGTCTCCTCCCTGCAAAGACACCCAGACGTGTCTGAAGTCCCACTCAGCTTGACTTCTCTCCCCCTGGCAATGTCCTGTGTGCTTCCTTAGATTTTCAGGTGTTGTGTCCACTGAACAAAGAGGACTGAGTGTAAGGGGAGGGAAGATGTACCACCAAGCAAGGCCACATTCAACAGTGAGTCATCATGGGGGAAAAACGCTTGTTAGAAAGGCAAATTTAGTGTATTTTAAAATAGTCAGTGTGAAAAGTCATTCAAGGAGCTAGAGAGTTGGAAAATTTAACTGCATTACTGACTTTATCATACTTGACAGAATAGTTGAATGAAAATGAGTGCTGTGTCTGTAGAGTTAAAGTAGTAAATGTCTTAAACTTTGAATCATTGAAGAAAGTTCTAATCATTGATACTCTTTTTTAAAAAATAACCACAGACAGAATTCTTCAGTTGAGGAAGCCGTATTTGGTTTCCTGACCCCCTGGGAATTTTTGCAGTAGTTTTTAGCGCAGTCCCCAATACTCTTCTCCCCAGCCTGCTCTTTCTGTTACTCCCGTCTGACATTGCTGTCACATGTTTGTTACGACTCATGAGACATGACTTTGATGGTAAGTTCTTTGAGTTCTTCGCAGTGTTGGGCTTTTGATAGTTCTATGACAGTGTGTGTAGCTGTGGGTCTCGTAGAGTTTACTCTCTGTAGATTTTATCCTCTGTAGAGTTCTGGTTGCCTTGTGAAGGTCTGGCGCTGTATCCATCGTGGTTGGCCAGAGGTTTGCCGTTCTTGATGAGTTCATCTCTTGACCCTTTCCGTTCTCTTCTCCTGGGAATGTCTCGTGTTGGGACACTGTTCCTATTTCTTCATTTCTTTTATATTTCTGTTCTGCAGACTGGGTAATCGTTGTTGACCTGACGTCATGTGGGGTGGTTCTTGCTTTTGCCGGCTCAGAGCTGCTGGGGAACTCCTTTTTTGGTGTGTGTGTTATTATTGCACAGTTCAGTTTCATAATTTCTATTTGTATTGTTGTGCACCAGCGAGCCAGAACCAACGCGTAGCTGACCCTCTGACCAGTTTTTCAGAGGCAGTTAATCACCTGGAAAGAGACTGCCCATCCGTGTCCTGTGGAGCAGCTGGTGGATTTGAACTGTGTGCTTTGGGGAGTGCAGTGCAGCTTCTTGCCACTCGGCCACCAGTGCTCCTTTTATAACTTCCGTTTCTTTAGGACATCCTCTGTTTGTTTTTACTTCTTTTGCTCTTTAGACATAATTATAACAGCTGATTTGGAGTCTTTTTTTAGTAAGAGCCTCCTCAGGGATTATTTGTTTGTTATGTTTTGGGTGGCTCCTGAAATTTCTGTTAAAGTGATTAGTATTTAGTGGGACAGAAGTTGTATTCAGTCCGTGGGTCAGTGAATCGCCCAGTCTTTATCAGAGAGCGCTCAGCCAAGCCATCGACAACTTACCTTGGAGCCTTCGCTTGCTGCCTGTGGGACGGGGTTCAGAAATTGTTGAAGGCTTAGTTTACTCTCAGCCCACCCCCCAGCGTATGCGTAGCCCGGGCTGGGTTCTTTTCCATTCCCAGGAGTTTGTCAGAGCTCCTCTTGCCTCCGTGGTCATCTCAGTCCCTCATTATTTAAACACCCCCCCCCAAAAAAAAAACCCAACCCCACCTAGCCTTTTTTGTTGTTGTTGCCCAATATTTACCCACTACCAAAAGAAGCTGTGATCACAGCCAGTTGCTTCTCATTTTTTAGACAAATTATTGTTCTATACCGTGGAGTTAGAACCAGCCCCTACCTGACTGTCTTGCAAATTTTTAGAGGCAGTAAATTGCATGATGGGAGATTGCCTGTCTGTCTTCATGGAGACGCTGGAGGATTTGAACTAGCGCCTTCAGGTTGGCAGCACAACTCATTACTGCTAGGCCACTCCGTGCACAAGCTTTTCCCGCAAGGCCAACCCAAAGTCGTATCAAATAAAGACATTTGTCCGGGGAGGGGCCTTTGAAAGAGCACCTCCATTCTGCCCACTGCTGGCTGGCAAGCACACTGGCTGTCATTGTCATTGCCATCGACCTTTGGAGTTCAAGGCTATTCTAGAGCTGGGGGCATGGACAGGTGGAATAGGTACTTAGAACTCCCCATGCTCACTGCACTTATTTTCTGGGGAATATACTTTCTGAAGTACTGTAATCCTCTGATTCCCTGCCAGAGTTCTAGACAGTTTTCTTTCTGACAGTTTTCCCATTTCCTTTTTGCTCTTGTGAAAGTTCTTAATCCACCAAATGACATTACACCTGCTTGTTGAGGGTATAACCGGTTGAGCAGTTAGTTCCAGCTGAATCAGTGGAGAGGGGCCACAACAGAGAGTGCTTCTTTCTTTCCAGAAACTTGTCTGACCTTCCTGTCGCTCTTGTCCTGTGTTGTAGGACTACGATGATGGATATGGTACCGCTTACGATGACCAGAGCTATGATTCCTATGAGAACAGCTACAGCACCCCAGCCCAGAGGTAAGAAGCCTTCTCTATGATCGGACTTGACAAGCCAGTGCGTTTACAGAGGGTCTGGGCGGCAAGTGTAAATAAGAAGCCGGCTTGGATAACTTGACCTGTTTTGTGTTTTGTTTGTTTGAACTGGAGAAGCATTATCTCCTACCAACTAGCATCACTTTGAAAACAAAAGCGCTGCTGGTGGGTCAGTGCGGACTCTTCGCAGCCCTACATAACAGTGCAGAAGAGCTCCCGGGGATCCTGCCCGGGAGGGCTGTGCCCGCACAGAGTGCCACCCTTTCTCTGTAGAGAGGTATGAAGCCACCACAGCTGCCCTTCCGTTGACCAGCTGAGCGTGTAACCACGGTGCCACCAGGGTGGGGCGACACCACCAGAATTTACAGGAATGGTGTCGCAGTCAGGCTTAGGAATGAAAATTGAAATGTGAATATGCGTAAGTTAGACCTGAGTGTTGAGTGTCTTCTGTGGGAGCACACAGACTACGTAGTCTGCACGTGTTTGATCCCAAAAAGCAAAACTAAAAGCTAAATACAGCAAACTAGCACTGTGTTATCAGACCTGTAGAAGAAAGAACTAGAAGTTCTGCTTCATATTTATAGAACCTTTTGGCTTCTCAGCAGCAGTGCGCCTGATTTCTAACAACTTCACATTCCCTGTTTGTGAAAATGAGCCAGGTCTGATTCATTTCTCAACAGCTATTTATTCGGAAATAAATAAGTGCTATCAGAGGCAAAACAGAGCTTTATATTTACCTCTTGTAACGAGGTAGCTTGATGTTTATTGATAGACAGAATCAGTGTTGATTCTGTCCCGAGTGTTATTCTAAGTGCCCAGGAACCCCAAGCTGTATATTTAAAATTTACCGTGGAAATTGTGATAGGCATACAGAAAACAAGATACAGATGTCTGAGCACGTGTGTAGCTTGTGGAAACATGTGGATGAGGTGGAGATTTCCAGATGCATCAGTGCACGAACATAGCCAGCCACACTCTTAGCAGAAAGGCCTCTTCCTTGTTGACTCTGGCGCAGGCAGTTAACACAAGTTATTATTTCTGTCCACATCATTTTGTTGTTTCTTTTGTTACGTAATTTGTAAGAGGGTCTTCAAGATGCAGCTCTCCGTCGGCTGGGTGTAGTGAAAACTTTGTGCATCCTCTCTGTATCCTTGAACGTGCAAGTGGGAGGGAGAGACGGTTGTTGTGTTGATGGGGTCCACTGCCTGGCCTGGGGTGGACATGGCCCCTGGTGAACACAGCCTGAGGTGGACACGGCCCATGGTGAACATGGCCCGTGATGACCATGGTCCGAAGTGGACACAGCGCATGGTGAACACGGCCCAGGGTGGACACGGCCCAGGGTGGACATGGGGCAGAACATTGCAGATGGTCACCTGTGTAACAAACATGTCTGCGGACAGCTACGTGCCATTTCCCGCATTTTGTAGCTGAGGATCAAAAGCTGCCGAATTTAAGATTAAGGTTTTTTTGTTATAAAATTACATAGTGAGTTAAAGATGTTGGAATTTGTATTCTTTGGAAGTAAACAAATCCGCCTCTAGTCTTAGTAGAGGAGAGAGCTCTGTAGATAGACAGTGGCCTAGTGGATCGGCCCTTGTTCTACCAACCCAAAGGCATGTGGTTCAAATCCACCAGCTGCTCCTTGGGACCAAGGTAGGCAAATCTCCTCCTCAGTGGTTTACAATCTTTGGAAGCTCATTGGATGGTCAGCTGTACTAGGTTCCGACTCCAGGGTGATGAGTGAGTGAAAGCAGGGAGTCAATACAGAAGATGAAGCCCTGCAGGAGGATGGTGTGTCACACTGACTGCAGCTGTGGGCTTGGATCCAGCAATGACCATGAGCATGGAGCAGAGCTGGACCAGGGAGTGCTTTGTCCATTGTACCTAAGGTTGCAGGAACCGGCACCGACTAGTGGCACCTAACAGAACAGATTCTTTTGAGAGATATCAGTGTCTTTAAATATCTGAATTTCCACTCTTAAATATTGACAAAAGCGGGTGTGTGTTGTTTATTGTGTTGTATAATGCCTGCCATCTCCATCACAAAAATGTTTCACCTCCCACAAGAGTCCTGGAGGCAGAGACACCACCGTGCAGGTAGACTGAGCAGGTGACAGGCTAGCTCCTCTGTGAGGTTCTTGGACCCCGAGAATTACTTCTGGTAATCCTGTCCCCACTTCCAGGATGATAGCCATCAGATTGGACTTACACAGGCAGAGTTTTGCATTGCTGGTTTACATGCTATGGGAACAATTTGACAAAGCAGTCAAGCAGACTGCAGTTACGTTTACTGTGTCGCTCATTCTGAAGAGAGATAGAGTCTCTCCATTATTTAGAATCTTTTCTGTTCTAGGTACTACATGTGCTATTGGTTTATAGGTTTGCATCTAGTCCATCTGGTGAGGAAACAGAACTATCTCCACGTAATGGAAGTGAAAGCTGAGACAGAGCTTTCTAAGAAAGCACCAGTGCCGTGGATGATGGTTATCCAAATAACCCTTCTTTTTTTTTTTTTGAGACTTGCTGTAAAGAAACACATTTCCTCTGCTAAATGTTGTGGTCTGTAAAAGAGAATAATGTCACAGCCCCAAGAGTCAAGATGGAACCCACCTCTGCTTGGAACTTATGATAGAGTGTAATCCTTTACATGTGTTATGTAACCCACGTGGTAACAAGCTATTTTGGTTTTAGAAATGAAGAAACTGACGCTCAGAGAAGCACATTGCTAGTTGTGACTCTAAGTGCAGACTTGTAAAGGCTTTTTTCATTCTTTGCCCTGGTGATTCAGGGATACACTTGATCTCAACGTTCAGGTCTTTGGTCATTTATTCAAGTGTTTGTGGAATGTCCACTTTGTGCCAATCACTGCCTTTAAGGCTGGGAGCACAGAGGTGATACGACCCAGAGCCTACCCCCTGAGAAGCTTAGAGACTGGAAGGAGACAAAGGAAAATCATGAAATGCAGGACAGTAGTACGGAGTGATAACCATGAGTCCAGGGTCGGGGAAATGGCTGCAGAAAACCGCGTGAGTCCGTTTCAGCTCTTAGAGACTGTGACAGAGCGGAGAGAACCGCCGTAGGCTTTCCAAGGGTGGACAGCTTTACCGAAGCACACAGCTTCATCTGTCTCCTGTGGAGCAGCTGGTGGGTTCCAACCTCTGACCTTTTGACCAGCAGTCAATCACTTACCCACTTTAACAACCACAACCCACACCAAGCCCACTGCCTTCAAGTCGATCTTGACCCATAGCAGCCCTCCACTGGGCTCTTGTGAATTGCAATGGGAGGAAACTGCCCATCATTGTTCTATAGAGCAGCTGCTGGGTTTGAACTGTGGGACTTGATGTTAGCAGCGCCATGCATTACATATTGTGTCACCAGAGCTCCTTATTGGCTGGCTGGGCTCCTTATTTCTAGAAGACAGCACTAAACTGGTTGGGAGCATTGGGCATGTTCCACACAGAGACTTGAATAATCAGTCGGAGTCTCCAGGCAGAGAAATAGGAAAGGACATGGCACACAGTGACAACTGCACAGCAGAGCACCTGAGACACAGAGGGTTTTCCTGGGGAATAGCGGAGAGCACTGTAGAGTGTAGATGCCTGTGAGTGGTGAGAGAGAAAGAGAGATGAGGCATATTTATTCCTGTGCACGTGATACGGTGAGCAGCTGCGGGTAGCTATTGAAGAGTTGCCTCTGAGGGAATGGCGTGTGTAGACCTGAAATTGTTTGAGAAGATAATTAGACATCAGTGTGGATGCTAGATTAGAAGGCTGGTGCGTTAGAAATTATGAGCCCTCTAAAAACCAGGGCAGGCAACTTGCAAGACAGCCAGGCTGCCTCTGTGAAGTGGCCTGCACCTCACTTCACCTTACCCGGGGGGCCAGACAGAAATGCATAGGGCTACCCTGGCTGCTACAGAAATCCCTGTCCAGCTGGTGCTCTGTCTAGTATTTAATCCTCCTTCATCACGACTCAAGAAGGAAACATCAGCTCTTTAAATGAAGCATCAAATGTTGATTCTGAAAGATTAAGTAATTCTTGAGATCATACAGCTTAAAGTGCAGGAATCTTCCAGTGCAGTAATCTCAGGCTTAGGGAACTTTGAGGCCCAGTTGTAAGCTGAGCCTCAATGCTGAAGATACACAGTTCCAATCTACTAGCTACTCTGTGGGAGACGGACAGTATTCACTTACATGATTTAGTGCCTTTAAAAACCTGCTGGAATATACAGAAAGTTGAAAGAAACAATTGCCATCTGCCCAGCAAAGCTCTCCACAGATATGAAAAATAAATCACATCCTTTGCAGAAAAGAAAGAACTTAAGGAATTCAAGAAAACAAGACCAAATTTACAAGAACTTTTAAGAGAAATCTTTCACACAGAGACACCAAAGCACAGTGAATAGGCCATAGTAACAAGAAACAAAAAGAAACACAGCAAATGACAGTAATAAAATCTGGCCTACCAATAATCACACTTAATGGACTAAATGCACCAATCAAGAGTAAAAGAGTATCAAAATGGATAAAAAAGCAAAGCCTGTCAGTATGTCTCTACAAAAGACACATCTAAGAAATGAAGGAAAAGACAGTTCAAAATCCAAGGGGGGGGGGGAATATGCCAAGCAGATGGCAACCACAAAAAAGCAGGAGTGGCAGTACTAATCTCTGACAAAATAAACTTCAAGATGAAAACCACCATAAAGGATAAGGAATGTTCTATAATAAAGGGTCTATAATAATTAAATGCATAGTAAATCAAGAAGATATAACACCAGTTAACATCTATGCATCGAATGATAGACCTGCTAAATACATAGAGCAGCTGTTAACAGAATTGAAGGAAGAAATAGCATCACAGTAGTGGTAGGACCACTATTAACACACCACTCTCACCAAAGGAGAGGTCAACTCAAACTTAACAGAGATGCACAAGATCTAAACTACACATTCAGCCAACTTGACCTTGTGGATGTATTT